AGAAAAAGGCGGTGCCCCGCCTCGGCAGCCGGAGAAGCTGAGCGAAATCTCAGACCAGGAGTGGGAGATTCGCACCGGTACGTCCTCTACCGCACCCTAGTCGCGAGGCACTCCCCTGGTGAGTCGCGGAGATGATCTGATGCTACTTTTAGATTTAAATATCTCATACATGGAACTCATACGGCTTCTACATCCATTCACTTGATGCGAGTTAGGCCGTGCAATTTACATCTTGCAGCAGACGCTCTCAGACTTCTTCAAGACCGGTCTGGTCTCTTCCCTTGAAATACCTGTCTTGAACTCCTCCAAGGCGGGCGAAGCCGATGCACCTGAAGTCGAGAGCATATACAGCCCAAATATTCGCTTAGCATATACCCCACCCGTCGAGCTGCCTTCGCCGTTCCCCAGGACTCTCCATGTAGAAGGTGTGCGAATCATTTTTGATGCCTCGTGTCCTAGGCTCATGGCTTTATCTACACAGGTCTTAACCTATACATGGCGTCGTCGGTGTTTATTCGACACACGCTGAATGCGCTATATAGCGATCTACACGTCGAGCTTCGCCGTGTCCGAGTGCACGGCCCGCGCTCCTCGTCAGGTATGCTTGCAGCCACGACTTTCGGTTCCACACGCGCCCGGCTCACAATCCTGTTCGCCCAGCAAACCACTCTACGAGTGCCGATCAAGGTGTGGGCGGTCCACCTGGAGAAAGCCGCAAACATCGTAGCACGAGGGAAAAAAGTCTGTTCGTGGGCCTCTCCGTTTCCGGCATCGCGCGCGTTAGTGGAGTCAATGGGGGATGGGAAGTGTGCGTACGCATAGGCGTCTGCGCAGTTGCCCGAACACTGACGCCGACTGTTGTACAGGAACTGCACGTATACGTTCTCTCCCGGCACCGGTCTCATCCATCTGCATACGATCGACTCGATCGAGCCCGCTCCGCACCAAGCGGTCTTTGACGCGCTGCGTAAACTTGGATGGGCCGGCGGGCCTGGAGACGCGAGCCCAGGGGCAAGCGCAGTTCGGGTGCATGCCGTGGATGATGATCGCATGCACATAAAGCCCAGTTATGACTGAAGGATCGGAGGATTGCAGGCGTGCCTTGAGAGGGACATTGACATTAGAGTGGACTCGGCTGTATGGCATATCAGTATAAATTAGTATGAAGAATAATCCACATCACCACTCGATCTCAGTCGCATGTGTACTAGTGGTAGCGAAAATACAGGTCGTCAGTTGGAGAGTAATCCAGAGGCTCATGCCACCTTGCATGATAGGATAAAGTTCCGTACTTGGTCTGAATTGGATCGTGAACGAAGAAAGTAACAATATCACCATGCAGCCTTCTCCCGACGGTATTTTTGACCAGTCCTGCTCAACCTCACCGAGCGCCTGGTCCTTCGCCACTTCGTTTTGAGTCATTTGGCGTTTACGACATCTCGTCGGACGACCATGAGCACGGCCGAGTCGCAGGACATTGAGCAGGCCACATCCGCCATCGGGTTTGTCTCCCCTCAGCATCTGCCTACTCTGCAATCTCATCGCTGTCTTTCTCAGCGCACCTGATAGCAAAACCCGTCGTTATGACCGACAGCTCCGGTGAGCCACCCCCGTGTTCTACATCTCTCTTTTACATATCCGCGTAAAGTCTTTGGGCCGCTTCAGGTCAGCATGCACTCGAAAATTCCCGTATCCTCGTCCTTTCCTCCTCCGCGACTGCCACCGCTGTCCTCAAGAACCTTGTTCTACCCGGCATTGGCCACTTCACCATCCTCGACTCGGCCATCACCACCCCGGCAGATGCTGGAAACAACTTCTTTCTTTCTGGTCTCGAGAGTGTTGGCAAGCCCCGCGCACAAGAGGCAGTCCAATTGCTGTGCGAGTTGAACGAGAGCGTCGAGGGCGAAGCAGTCGTCAAGGACATCAGCGACCTTCTTCAGACCGAGCAGGGGAGAGCGTACGTCAGATCGTTCTCGCTCGTCGTTGCGCATAACTTGCGAAAAGATGTGTTGGACGGGCTCTCCCTCCTCTTGTGGAACGATCTGTCCAACCCGCCCCTCATCGTCGTGCGATCGGCGGGCTTCCTTGCCGAGTTCTTCATTCAGTTCCACGAACAGTGTGGTACGTCCATCCCTTACCAGACTTGATAGCTTTTACGACTCCATCATCTCGCAGTTGCACAACCACACACTGACGAGACGCCCCCTTCGCTTCGCATCACGAGGCCATTCCCCGCCCTTCTTCAGTGGGCTCGCGAGCTCGATTTCGACAAGCTGGATCCAACCGAACACGGGCACGTCCCGTTTGTAATTATCCTTGTCCGTGCTCTTGACGACTGGCGGAAATCGGTGAGTTCAATACCGTGCCCCCGCGCGATACGCACGCTGCTGCTCAGAGGTTGAGGGGCGAACTGCCTCGTGGAGCCGTGGATTCATGAGCTGAATCGTTCTTTTTCGCAAGCACAACGGTGCGCCTCCGAGCACGTCGGCCGATAAACAGGCTTTTAAAGCCGCTGTGCGCGAGATGCGCCGCAAGCCCGACGAGGAGAACTTTGACGAAGCCGAAGCGCAGGCATGGCGAGTCTGGCAGGAACCCGCGGTTCGTGCGACGACTCGTCTCGTACCTCGGCCGCTGAGATTATATGCTAGATCCCTCGGGACGTAGAGGCGTTGTTCGCACTTTCTCCTTTATCGTCCCCAGGGTTGGCAGCCACTCTCCCATCATCAAAGCTCACGCCGGAGACGCCCAATGCTGCGTTCCATGCGCTGCTTCGCACCCTGGACGCGTTTGCGCGGAGCGATCGTGGGCCAGGCTGCCTGCCGCTCAGCGCCGCGCTCCCGGACATGCGCACAGATACGGAGAGCTATGTCAAGCTACAGACAGCCTACAAGGAATGGGCCGGGATCGAGAAGGTGTGTGGTCGCACCGTATGTCTCTGATATGCGACCTCGGGTCTCAACGAGCTTGTAGGCACATTTCAAAGAGCTTCTCGGTGAAAAATTCCCAGATATTGCGCCACTCATGACTGCCGATCAGCTGGACACGTTTGTCAAGAACGCGCACCACATCCGTGTGCTGAGAGGGACAAGGTGGGGCGAATGGGATACCGGAGCTGGGACGCTAGGTGAGGATCCCTCCTTAAACCAGAGGGATTTATGCCCATTGGCGTTCCTTGTCGTATACTCATATTCCTCAAACGCCCTTGAGACATCTCGCCGCAGCTAGTTGAACGTTTTAATTGGGATATCTCACGCGGCGGAGACTCTGCTGGCGTTTTCGATCCCATCGACTGGCTTGTTTATATTGTCAAAGGCCAATGCTGACGTGCAGGATGTGATTTTGTCAGCGACATCACTCACGACTTACGCTTGTGAGGCCGCGACGGCAACTCATCTGGCTTTCTGTGCACTGTCCACGCTTCTGAACGACAACCCTGGTGCGTGTATATGCTGATCTAGACCCGACCGCGCGCTCAGCCTACACTGCACAACGGAACAGACGGATCAAATGTGACCGTCGAGTCTCTCAAGACGGAGATCAGGAAGCTCGTTGGCGAGAACGTCGAATTGCCCGATGAAGTGGACGCTGCCGTTGGTGAGATGTACGCCGTCTCGTCGAGCAGATGTATGCATGTCAATGTCGATACTGATGACGTTCTATGACCGCAGTGCCCGGGCACCGACTGCCGACATGCCCAACGTGGCAGCGTTCCTGGGTGGGCTGATCGCTCAAGAGGCAATCAAGGTGATCACGAACCAATACGTGCCCGTTAAGGGGTACTGCGTCGTGGACCTGGTAGACTCGTGGACGAGCATCATTGGGCAGTGAAGACGCGAGTAGAAATCCAACTAGACCGTTAGGCCATATGAGAGAAACGCACGGCACCAGACTGTAGATCGGATCATGTTGTATCAAGTAACTTGTATTGCTCATCGCATGTTCATGAATCCCAAGAAGGGTTCATATCATTATGGATACAATCAGAGGGGATAGTCACTGTCTGAGCACGGGCGGCTCCCAGCACGCACGCACGGCCCCCACAGCACCGTTCACCATGTCTCCTCGAGAAAGCCTTGGACGATGAGGTGCTCCACGTCGGCCCTGCGGACGAGGAAGCGGTGGCCGCGGCGGAAGTCGAGCGCGCCCTGCTCGGTGTGCACGACGCCGCAGTCGCGCACGACGCGCACGAGGACGTGCAGGTCCTTTGGCGGGCGCGCAATCGGCGCGAACAGGTCCACGTCTTCTGCGAGCGCGCCGGGTGCGTGGGGCTCCCCGGCGGACGTTGCGAGGGATGCGCGGAGCGCGAGGAGCGACGCGCTGTACGAGCGGAGGAAGTCCACCTCGTGTGGGGAGAGCCGCGCGCGGACGTCGGGCGCCGCGGGCTCGGACTGGGCGGCGGGCGCACCGGGCGTCGCGGACGGCATCGCGAGCAGGAGGGGCAGCGCGCCCCCGACGGACCAGAAGAGGTCCTTGAGGCGGTCGAGGCGGTGGGCGTGGTACGCGAGCAGGCACCGCTTGTTGCGGTTGATCGCCGTCTGGTAGAGGAGAATCGTCGGCAGCGCCGGGTTGTCGTTGTCCGCGAGCGGGTCGTCGTCGTCCGCGTCCGCGTCTGCGTCGGGGTAGGCGGCGAGGGCATGCTGGAGGAACGCCTCGAGCTGCCGCTGTTCGCGGATGATGGATCGCACGAGGACGTCGTTGTACTTGAGGAGTGTGTCTGTGGCCGTGGACCGGCGCGACTCGGTCAGGAGCTGGGTTGCGAGGTCGCCGTATTGGTGTGCCGTCGCCGTGCTCATCGTCGTCGTCGTCGTCGCCGACAGATGCCCCGAGCCGCGGGCAAGCCATGTTGTGACTACGATGGTGACTAGACGCGTGGCGTGACATAGCGGCCTTAATCTGCAGCGTTTTTGAAAGTCTGCGGCCTTCCCCTAAAAGCAACGGCTACATAGCCGGAATGTCTCGGAGTTGGCACAGTTTCGAAGTACAATGTTCGAATGAGTGTCCGTCAATTTTGTATGTGTAAAGAGAAACGAAACTGAAAGGAAACACGCATCGCAGCTAATCTGCAACGGACTTGGTTACGATGCCGAACTTGCTTCAGCCACCGTGCCGTAATGCCGAATCTCAACGCCGGCCACCTGGTGGCTGCCACGACTTGCCTCATGCCGGGACCGGCAAGAAACAGAGTTCAGGTTCAGGCTAAGATGCAGTGGCGTGTCATGCTCAAGCATGCCTTTAGATGTATCTGGCCTCCTTACGTGCTCAGAAATGGTCTCGTACCCAGACGTGTCGAAGACACGTCGTGACCGTTACATCAATCATTCTGCCATTCTCTGCCAGATGGCATTTATGCTGAACCTACCCAAAAATAGAGTCTAATTGGGTGATTAAATCTCATTGAAGGCTAGTGTGACCGTTACATCAGGCACCTCTGGCAGGGGGGGTGTCTGGGCACGAGATCACTCAGAAAATATCCTCCAAGGCTCCTATTTATGTAGTACACCTTCTCTGGGAGTGAGGTCTTCATCTGGCACACGCAGATGGAATCATGACTGTATCAGCTGAAATATTAGTGTTCTCTCATTTTTCAGTCTTTCCATTTGAACCAAACAGCTGATCGAACACCATACCTATACTCGCAAGCACCACGAGC